CCGAAACGTCGTGATTTAATTTAGTTGTTTTATTTTATTTTGTTTTCACCTACGTGACTTTACCGAAAAAACCAAACAGTATGGATCCTTGCAGTCACGAAAACTTCAAATCTAGAAACAAAGTAAGTTGTAACTTAATTTGTGTTTTCGATTATTCACCTTCTAAAAATAAATCTGGCCTCGTCTCGCACCTCCAGAAAGGGCATCTCGCTCCGCCAGGGGCTGAGTGCATCCCAGGTTAAGAAGAAGAAGAATAACCACCTGCTGTCGACCAGAACAAACCCATAGTAGTAGGTTTTTACCCTTTCAACTGGTACAAAACTGACACCTTTATACAATGCATCAAGTTTGCAATAACCACAACACAACTAATCAAAATGCAAACAAAAAGAAACAACTCTGATAATGGTAATGATATGCACACTGTCCTTGAAGTTGATTGGTCCACACCCGAGACAGATTTCCTTAGAGCCTAGTCTCCATTGGTGTTGAACCAGATGATACCAAAAGGCGTACAACTGTGCCAGTTTAAAGGGTATAAACCTACTACTATATTTTGTCACTGGTAAAGGAGGTCTCATAGCAGAACAAGCCCGTTGATTTATTTAGCAATTGTGGATTGTTTATAACGACACATTTCTATTTACGCGATCTAACCCCCCGCCCCCCCCCAAAAAACCGATATTATCAATTTGGGATTGTGTATAACCAAACTATTAGCACGGTTGGCTACGTACGGTGCGAAATAAGTTCAACGTACATCGATACGGTGAGATGACTTTCATAACAGCTGCGAGAATACAAACCCATTCAACTGCAATATATGAGGCTGACACAAGTCCCTGCCGTGCTCGTATTCACACCTGTCAAAGAGCATTAATGTTGCTTCTGCTTTATGCCATCGTCATTCTGACAGCCCACGAGCCTGGCCAAACCGGACTGTCTTCTGATTATCCGGAATTTGGCCAAATTTTCGGTTATTTAAATCTTACAGTGACACTCCCACGGCTTGCTACGAAAATCCCTCCTGGGCCCTGCTGTACATCTTCCCGTACATGGAGCATTGGGCCAATATTGGGCCAATATTGGGCCAATATTGGGCCAATATTGGGCCAATATTGGGCCAATATTGGGCCAATATTGGGCCAACGTTGGCGTGTTTACCGAGTTATTACAGACGCCTCTCCACCGCTACGGAATAATGAACTTGCAGATCATCATCAGCAGCAGCAGCAGCAAGGATTAAGCCACGTGACGGATGAGTGCCTCCCCACGCCGCCACGACCTCTCACGATCTTAGCTCAACTCGGCGTGTCACCGCTCCGTGGATTTCGCCGTTCCATCTCCCCGACGGAGGAAAAACAACCCTTTGGAAGTGTTCCATTCCTTGGGCTGCCGCTCAGTGATTTTTTGTTGACAATCGGTCATCGTTCCTTTTATGGGCATGATGTGTCCTGCCCAAGCCTACTTACTTTTCGTAACAGTTTGATGTTGTTAAACCGCGTGTGTTCTCTCATCCACGTTTCCTTCTTTCTGTCTCTCAATGTAAGACCTTGCACGGAGAGACAGAAATCGCGTGTCTCTCCACGCTTGATTGTGCTCGTGTCAGCTTTTGTTCAACTTTTCCCCCCACAGATACAGGCGCTGCGGTGGCGAGATGTTAACTACCTCGCCTGGTATGCAGGAGGTCGTGGGTTCGATCCCGATGCTGACGCCTGCTGCTGTATATTTGGGGTCTGCATCCTCTCTTTCTCTCTCCCCCCTTGGTCGTTACCATTTTTTTCTGGCAACAAAAAACACCTTTTACAAGGAATCATGTCTGCATTCACCACAATGCTTGTGGTCAGAATGCAAAAAAAAACACACTGATAATATATGCATTGTCTTTGAAACTGATTGGTCCACACCAGAGACAGCTTTCTTTTGAGCCTCGTCTCAAACGGTGTTAGATCAGAGGACGCCAAAAGGCGTGAGTGTTTGTGTGCACGTCTTCGTAACGAGCAGTTTAAATAAACCAAGTAAGTGGCTGATGGTTAAAGTGCACTTTTTGTCCTGAATTTATTGCAACAGAGTTACAGCTCGCTGCTGGAAGTTTGTGGCGCATTCGTCACCATACGTGGCCACTTCCCGTGCGAAGGGACGTCACAGCGGCGCAAAGCAGTCTGGGTATTCGGGAGATCGTGGCGAAGAGTGTGCGTGGTACAAAATGGGACCTTTTTTGTGCCAGTATCAAAGTATGAAAAAACAAGAATGGGTTGTTAAGACTTTCTGGCAATAAAACAGGAGGTGTCAAGATGTCCAAACACAAAATATAAACCTTTTGCAAGGAATCAAGTTCGCATTGACCACCCACAGTACTTGTGGTGAACATGCAGACACGTGTGCTAGGCACTAACTGACCTGAAATCACAAACCATATCAGTAAACCCGCGCTCCCTACCCACGAATTCTAAATCGTAACCCATCCCACTTTAACCCGACACAAACACTGAAGCGAGTGGCTTCACTTTACGTTTTATCAATGGAAATCCAAGGAAGGCCTATGATTGGACGACCCGCTGGATCTAGAATTGGGATAGAAACTTCTGTGGGTACAAGTCATAGCAATGCGTGCAACTGCTATTGACTTGGCGCTGGAAAACGACAAGCATTTACTTGTTAACAATGAGACAATAAGCCTCCACATACCCGTCTCTCCACGTAAAAATAAATAAAAACCCTCTCCTACACGACCCATAAGTCGCACGGGTTTCTGACAGTGTATAATTTCAGCAGCAATCGTTTAAGGACAGGGGAAACTCTGGGCCTCGTGGTTTCGACACGCAGTGTCTCATCAGCAGTGCCAGGCTTCCTTGCATCAATGCTGGCGAACTGCCGACACTTGAGTTGTTTGGGGGTCCCGGTTAGACGTCAAATTATTTCGCGAAACTAAACTCAAAATAACTCACGAAAATTGCGTGCACTCAAAAATGTCGTCTGCTTATACTCACAATGTTATGTCATATTCTCACACAGCTACGCCAATGATTGTGATTTAACTGTTAACTGTGTGTCGCCACCTGCTGTATAAGTATGTTGACGATTTGCAGTCTCTATAGAAGTGAGGCGAACTGAGAGCTTTTATATTATTTGGGTCTTTCGGTAAAGTCATGTAGAACAACAAAATAAAAATTTGACATTATTATTTGTTCGACGTGATTTTATCGAAAAAAAAACAAAGAATATGAATTCCTGCAGTCACAAAACCTTTAAGTGAAAACTGAGAACTTTGTTGAATACAGGGTGGTCCAAAAGTCAGGACACAATGGGCTATTGTATTTATTTTAACTCATCACAAAGGGTAATTTTATTTATTTTAACAAATGTTCAAACTGGCTTCCGTTAACATTAACGCGTGCATGGATTATCGTTTGCAATTAATTCAGGACTTAAAAAAAATTACAGCTGTGTAACCTTTGAACATTAATCAATTACGTTGTTTTATAAATGATGGATATGAGTTGACCCCACAGGCAGGAGCATAAAAAAGTATGGAAAAATAATAACGATAACAGATAAAATATGAACTTATATAATAAACTATTCAACTATTTTAATGGCAGTGTTAAAAAAGAATTAAATAACCCCTTTGTGTCCTGAATGTTGGCCCACCCTGTACACGTTACAATAAAACCATCAACGCTTCACAACAGAAACGTGATCGATGGTGTGTGGAGCGGTCGTGGCGAGCGCGCTTACGCAATGCACCCGGCCACTCGAGTTCGATTCCCGCTCACGGCCACCAACACCCTAGTGAAGATTATCTGAACCGGTCCTGAGCCTCCCCTAGGTCGACTCAGCCTCAAATGAGCATCTGGTGAGGTGTGCAAAAACATCGCCACTCGGGAAACAATTGCGGCCGGGTGTGGTGCTGGCCACTTAGGGGCCGTCCATAAATGACGTCACGCGATTTTGGACGATTTTTGACCCCCTTCCCCCACCTCGTCACACGGCGTCACAAAAAGTCAGACCCCCCCCTCAAATGACGTCACAAAGCTCTGCCCCCCCCCCCAAAAATAGAACGTACTTCAAATCGATTTAAACTATTGTCATTGTAGTGCGTATTTAATGTGGCGTGCTGCACTCTGATGTTGTAGAAGAAAACATTTATTAAAAAGTCTATTTAATTAAGTAGAACGTGTCGTCTATATTTATGTAAAGTTGCGCATTTTGATGTGACGTCACACATCGTCACAAATATCTGACCACCCCCCCCCCCTAGGTGCGTGACGTCATTTATGGACGGCCCCTTACCCCCGTATCGGCCTTCGTAGGTGCTCCTCGCCAACAAAGCGTTCTTCAGCTTAACACGTAGCCTTTCGCGACCAATGTCATCCATAACGCAGGGTTGCCTGATGATGCTAGTTGTGATTACTGGCGAAACGTCGTACTCAAGATTGTAAATGTTGTGGCTTGGCTCTCCAACACACCGGTGCTGCTGTACTCGTGACGAATTGGCCACGTTCTGTTTACGTGACAACCCTTACTAGTTGGCTGTGTCGGGTGGTGGCGGGTTTAACGACACATTTATATATTTACGCGATCTAACCCAAAACACATGTATTACAGCGTTTTTCACCAATTTCAGAGGGGGGTGGGCACTTTGGCCGACAATACATCATCAGTGTGTTCAAGCCGCCACGCATTTGAAACCATTGTTGGGTTTGACAGCAGCACGATAGGCGAAACGTCGCCAACTGTATTTTTTAGGGCAATGCAATTGGCGGATCAGATTCTACTCTGGTTTTATGGAGCCGATCGGCTGTTACGCGACCAAGCTCGATTTCCTGTTCACAACTTATTTACGTGAATGTTTTGCTCGGTGCAAAACAACAGCCGAAGTAATTATTAACATTCAATACACGCCGAGAACAAAGCTTTGCAAATTTCTCGATTATTTTGATACTTTGGACACAAAAAAACCCCACTACGGTGTAGTATTACACAGTGCGCTGCAGAAATTAGATGACAACCTTTATTGAATTTCGTTTGCGTTACATAGTTCTGCGACAGCATAATCACAACTAGGATTATTAAAGGCTACTCGTAGCGAATAGCAAATTGTTGCACTCGTAAATACATTAATACAGATATATATTTTTCAAAAAACCTACCCAAGGCCAACCAGACCCTTCTCACAAAACACACGTGACAAGACCTGCTGTACCACGTGTCCTCAACTAGGTTTCACCCCAACACATCCGAGTGGATCTCGGGGTCCACGTAAGGGCCATGGGGCCGTTCGTGGGGTCACCAAGGTATCCAACTCAAATCTCAACTGTCCGGCTGGCTGACAGTACCGCTCAGATTATTGTTATATATATTTTCTTTTTACCAGGTAAGGCCCACTGCAGCTTCTCGCTTCTTTTTCAGAAGCGTCCCGGCCACGAATGATAGCTCAACGAAGCGGCCCATCACGCGGAAATGTACTGAAGCCAAAATAATTCCTCCGGAAAAGCCGGAGGACCCAGAGAAATATCCACGCGACCACCGGGAGAACACGCAAACTCCAAATATACAGCATGCGTCAGGGTTGGGATCGAACCCACGAAACCTCCTGGAATGTCAGGCGAGGGAGGTTAACTTCTCGCCACCGCAGTGCAAATTAGGTCCAATATTTCAACCCCGTTAATGAGAAGTGTCCTGGGAATCAAAAATTGCCAATCCCATTTCTCGACACTGAAACGCGTGAGAATCTACCTTGGAGCCCACTGGGTAGGGTTTTTCGCGGTTGTGCCGTACGGCTCTCCGATGTTCTTCGTGGGTCGTACCGCGTGCTGAAGGCACAATGTCCGACGTTTCGCTCCAAGTGCTGAGATCATGCCGAACAGCACGCGGTCCAACCCAAGAATACAACGGACAGTTAATTAATCTACTTTGATGTCGCCATCTTCCCACGCGGGTTGATAATTGAACATAAGCATTCAATACCATTAGCCGCTGTATTCACATGTTCTCATCACAACCCGACTTTCTGAACGATGAGCTTGTGGCGAGATGTTAACTACCTCGTGGGTTCGATCCCGACCCAGACGCTTCTATATTTGGAGTTCTTTTGGAGTTTGCATATTCTCCCCGTGGTCGCGTAGATTTTTCTCCGGGTCCTCCGGTTTTCCCCTCCACATTTTAGAAACATCCGTTTTAAGAGTATTTGGCTGCTACACATTTCTACACACTTTGATTTCGTTGAGCCATCATTCGTGAGAGCCAGGTCGCTTCTGAAAAACAGCGACTGCATATCGCTCAGTAAAATTTGAAGTTTAGTCGATTTTTGTTTTGCCCCAGAACACACCACCCCCGTACGAGCCACGTGAAGAAATCTCGGTAAAAATATTCCTCGTTCACCCGCGTCTTATTATCATCGCGTACAGAACGAACTTCCTTTTACGGGACATTTCGTGCTGGTTGAGTAAAAACTCCCCGGGCCACGGAAACGCCGCTGGGGGAAGGCTTCACGGCGGCGACTTTTGGCACGCGCGTGGCAGAAAAACCTCCCAGCACGTCGTTAATAACGAGCTTGTGTTAGAACACGTCTCTCCACAGAGAGGCACCCGATGCAGATGCCGGTGACTTGGAATTGTCTTGGGGCGAGCAAAAGACGAGGCTTGCTCGACGCAACAAAACACCACCCACTGGATGTGATGAATGAGGCTCGGTGCACACTGCAGTCGTTCGCTTGGGTCGAGTTTTAGACGAAGATATAATGTGATGTGTTCACAGAGCTGTCCGGGGCTGGCCTCCGGAAAATATTGACCCTCACCCACAGACCCTACTGCCCCCCCCCCCCCTCGACTGTTATCCAGTCAGGAGGGTGGGCGAAATGGGGGTTGGGGGGGGGTCGCCAAAAAATATTCATAATCAAAATTTTATTTCCCGAGTGAAACCCATAGAGCTAAGAAGCCCTTTTTTCAAGAGCGACTCGGCCGGCAGACACCATAAAAGCATTCCACAATTAGACATTTGAAACAAAGCAAAGAAGCCCTGTATATAGGTGAAAACATGAACAGGTATACAGGTACATTAATTTTATTGCGGAAATGAAAACTTTCTTTTCCTGGTTGTCGATGGCAATACGCTTTTAAGTTATTACACAACTTTGCAATCCAAACGCATTTGAATTAAGAACACGGCATTTTGCCTTTATTTGCATCTAACTGCCACCCTTGAAAGCATATCGACATAACCAAATGTCACCGCAAAGAACCAACGTGCAGGAATGTCTGGAGATGAGCCCAAGATCAGATTCGGTGGTTGGGTGTCACAGGGTCGTGGTGGAGGGGGGGGGGTCTTGTACCGCCCGGCACGCAAACGGGGCAACAAAACCTTTCCCACATGCAAAACACCCTCTCTGCACCTTCAGCTACACACAGACACAAACACACACACGGCCCATCGTGCCACGTGTTTGAAGTTTATATTAATTGGCTTTGAACGCTGTGGGGCTGTTAAACGCGGGGATCTCGCAACACCTGGCCCGCAGGAAAACTCGAGCCAAACAAGGCCCCTCGCTCGGCTGGTGGTAGAGTTCATCTGCTCCACGTCCTGCCCTGGCTCGACCCAGCAAAACACTGTCCCCTCCACTTCCACCTCCCCCGCCCCTTCAGGCTCGCCCGGGCTGTCACTGGATGAAGCCGTCAACGGATTTAAGCGCATTAGCTTCTGAGTAATAAAATACACAGACCAGAGGTGAATTTCCAAGACAGTGACACGCGCTATTACGCCCAATGAGCTTGGGCCTACCCCAGCATGCTTTGCATGTGTCATGACATCAACACCTGGGTGCATAACGCGCCCCAGCCGTGTGTTAAGACCGTTTGAGATGAGGAAACTGCATATACGGGTTGAAGCAAAGGATGTGATCTGCCGACGGGAGTTCGTTTTTTTTTATATATAAAGATGTTTGTGCAATAAAATTGGCAAATAACTAAAGCTTAAGCAATTAAATCATATTACTGTAATCCCACGTCCCTATGTAATAATACAATATAGTTATTGGTATCCCACTTCCTTATAAAGATTATTGGCTTGTATACAGTATTGAGTTAATACATGGGCTTAATGTTCATGTGATGTTTAACATTGGGAAAAAACCGGTACATTTCTCGAGTGTGAAAGCCCTTTAATTACTTAGCTACTCAGCCATGCTTAATACGAGCCTCGACTTTACATGGACAGTTGTGCGCGCTCCGATCTTAATCCGCCCATTGCTCTTGCGCACTAAAGGCGTCGCACACGTCGTAGATGGCACTGAACAGGCGGGCTCTGACAGTTGTGTTTAAGAAAATAAAATTACAATCACGACGCTTTGCCATCTTAGCCGGGTGGCATGTTGATGGCGTGCGGGTGGCCTGTGGCCATCAAAAATAAAGCAGCAGTTTTGATTGCGTAACAATGCCCAAATCAAATGGCTTTGGAACAACAGCGCAAGCTATCGCGAGCAATGATTTTTCAACACAAAAGATTGGGCCGGCCTCCCGTAATCCAAGCGCGGTTTTGCCGGATCGGGCTGCACAATTTCGCTCTCGAGCTTTTGCCACGAGCTGCTGCTGCTGCCGCGGGCTTTCTGCTGCGGCGTTGAACTGAAGACGATGCCGGATGCCCGTAGTCGTGCGTGGCGAGAGTTTGAGAGAATGAACGCTCAACACGCGGCTCAACTGGGAAAACCACACTCGCATTAAAGAGAAAAAAAACTTTTTTTTCCCTGAGTTTCGTTTAATTGGTTCATAATCCATAAAGAATTTAGGGATATAAGTGCTTCCTATTGATTACACTCGGGTCCTGGATCCAGTTGGTTACGCACAAAGCGATTCGGAACAAAGTCCTTTGTACAGCTTGCCGTTTGGGTACGGGTCAAGGTTATGAACCGATGAACACAACCTGACACGCAGCCGAAACGGTAAGCTGTTCCCGCAGGTATCCAGCGGTACCCAGAGGAACCTGACTCAAGGCGAGACTATAGGTTACGCCCTTTGCCCTCTGCAAAGGATCATGGGTAGCTTTGTTGACATGCACACATCGTGGTCTCGGGTAAGCAAAAACCTGTCGTCACAAACAGCACTCACAATTCACCTCTGCTGATCCAAAGGAATCGTTGTAAGCAATGTCCTAACTTGTATATAGTTACGTATATGGTTACTGTGGCTGAAGGGTGTTCATATGTACGGTATAGGGCAAGTGCAGGTTATGGAGATATTGCAAATGACGAAAGTAAACATCGGAATGAATGCACTTAATGATTTATATATTACCCTTGACACTGCATAAGCGTCTTCAGAACAATTACAGCTGTTAAGAACAAATGCATAAAAGCTCACCAATGCACTTGAATGCTTAACATTTTAAAAACCAATATTTCACGCAAACTTAACGTGTATGATCACCGCTGATATCACAGTGCTTTGAATAATCCGTGAGTGTGCTCTCATTTGTAAATTTGAAACTGGCCTTTCGATGCAACATTTTTTTTTGCCACGTTCATAAGAGTCATACATTTTCAACTTGTGATAAAATACCACTTTAACAGGCATCACCATTCGTCACCAATTAAACGTCACACTCATGTCAATTGAATACACCGCACACTCTTAGTTTCACTCTTTCGATCAGAACAGGACCCACACAGAAACCAAAATCATCCCTCACTCACACCCTGAAATAAGCCAGAGTTGGCTTTTATAACACGTAACCACAATGTCCCTTTCTCGGGAAACAAAACATTTAAGATTATCACTGTGACCTTGCTGGCTTAGTGGCAATTAACAGCAGTGTCATTTTACAGAGAACAACCCCAACATCGTCCATTAATTAAATCGAATTTATATTCATAGAGTGCCTTCGTTCAAGGCGCTTGACACAGTTACAAGAAGATTGACAGCAAAAAATTATTTAGACGGCACGGGTCGTGCAACCATTGAGGAATGCGTGACAGCGATAGAGGGGGGATGAGGGTAGGGGAGGGACGGGAAGGAGTGGAGGGGCGAGGGGGGGGGGAAGAAAAAGAGAATGGGGCAATGGAGAAGAGGTGGCGAGGCTTGGAGAGAGGAACGGATGAAGTTAAGGAGGATTGCTTCGTGAACAGGGGAAGTTTTTTTACACAACGGAGGGCTGCAAGGAGCGAGGACCAAAAACGGGATTGGGCACAAGAATGAGGAGGGACAGAGAAGGTTGGGAACGAAGCGAGCATGAGACGGGACGTAGAATTAGGTGGGCCAACAAGGCCACCATTATTGAAAAAAAAAATCATTCATAGGTTGTCTTTTACATCACACCAACAATACACAGCACCAAAATCCCAACTAACTCACATGGGGAGCCCAACACAGTCCATGAGCCCCGGACCAAATGTGTTACTCGTTGGTAGCACACGAGATGGCAACACTTTTAGTCATTCCAAGATCTTTGAAGCGCCAATTGAAGTGAATTATGTAAGACGAATTCAACAAGTTACGTTGTCGCGATCAACCCAGGTCGCCCTTGCATGCGTTCTCAGCGTGTTTATTTCATCTCCTGTTCAAAAACAGATACGACAACAACACGATCCACTTCTACTCGCTGCATGCAGACACTGCTGCTGGTAGGCGTTTGCCCCCCCCCCCCCCAACGGTACCGAATTAACCTCTGGCCCCATGGACGAAACAAATACACCGACATCATTCACTGTAAATACAATGTATCAGAAATTCCAATGTTTCTTAGAATTAAAGCAGCAACTGGGTTTGAAACATGACTAGTTTATTAAGTTAAAAGGTAACGCGATCAAACAATTACCTTCCCCAAACCACAAACTGCCACTCCGCCAGCCCACCCACACAGCAAAACTCACACTCGCTGTTTTCCTGACCAATATTCACCCTCACAGAGATCGTAACCATTCAAACACGCAATAGCACACCCCACATAACATACACGCTTGACTGCACAAAGCCAGGGGCAGCTACAACGCATAGCTTTCTCGTTGCAATTCCAGTCGTATAAATGCATTGTTGTTTTAGTTTTACTTTCAGGAATTATATGTTGGGGCACCTGGTGACGACAAACCATTTAAAAAAAAAAAACGGCGTCATTTTGCTTCAAGTGGAAGCAAGACATATACAGGGCGATCCATTTATAGATACCCCACCAATCCCAAATTGCACCTGCTTACTTTATTCTCAACAACAGCTGATTTAATATGGTGAGAGCAATAGCTTCCGCATCTTACAGGAGAATGCGGGAAGAAGCAAGGTGGTAAAAGGGTGTGGATAGAGATTAGTGGCTATGCAGTGTGTACAGGATGCCATAAGTAAAAGCCTCTCAAAAGTAGTTTATTTGAGTGGGTATCTATAAATGGATCACCTTGATTTTTTCCCCCCCCATCATTTTTGGGGGGCGAGAGGGGTGAAAAGAGGTGCGGTTCCTTATCGATCCCTGCCGTGACGTGAACCATCCCCCTTCCAATTCCTGGCGAGGGAATTTTTTTTTTTTGCCGGGGCCCAGTTACGGGTACATTTCTCCGTGCTCACCACACGGCATCATCGCCCTCTCACGCCACTTCCTCGACTTCCAAGTACAGCCGCCTCCCTCCCGCCCCTCCTCCCTCCTCCTCCAACACCACCATTGAACGCGAGGCCTCTCTCCATCTGCTCCAACGCATATGTGGACCCCCTGCTTTGCACGGGAACGGAGTGGGAGAGGCGAACCCGCTTGCAGGGAAAAACTCCCCCCCCACACACCCTCCCCACCGCCTCTCGGGAACAAAAAATCCCCCAATGCCAGTCGCCGCTTACGCTTTACCGCTGGTTTTCTGGGGATCCTGTCAGATAAGGGAGAAGGAAAGGGGAAGTCAAGGAAAATAAATAACGGCAGAGCGCGCAATTTGTCGAGAACCGTAGACCAGAGGGGGTTAACGAGCTATTTTGGTTGGGATTTTTGTTGTTGATTTTGCGCAGTCTTCGCAGTTTTCTGAGTTGTCCAACCGTGGTGAATCCAACCCCGTGTGTTAGAAAAAAAAGTCCGCCAGAAGGTGATATCACAGAACTTATTCAGAGATCCCCTTCAAGTGGCATTTTTTTCCCTTCATCCACGCGACAGGCAAAAGCGGCAATAATAAGCTCGTATCTTTCCAACAGGGCACCCCGAATGCATGTGCACGCTGGAGCCAGCCCTTTTCCTATGTGTTCGTAAAAACTCGAATTAAATAGCAAAGCACAACAACAACAACATACGGGTAGAAGACAAAGTGGAGGATGTGCATCCAGGAGATGGGAGGCCACGGAATGACAGGCGCCCCGGCAAACATCTCACCGGCAGCGGTGCCGTCCACCTCCATGTCCGCAGGCATCACGGGGTTTACCGGCGGTCGTGGCCCAGCTCTTTGGTCTCTTGGCCAACGCTGAAACTTGACATGAGCAGGCTGGAGAGAGAGGCGGTGGGGGAAGGAAATGGTACCACATAGACACAAATATTAACACTGGGTTCCATAAAGTAATGATGCTACTTGCACGCGAGTGTGAGCGTGCGTGAATGTGTGGGCGAGTGTGAGAGTGTGTGGGTGAGTGAGCGTGAGAGTGTGTGGGTGAGTGAGCGTGCGAGTGTGTGGGTGAGGTGAGCGCGCGAGTGTGTGGTTGTCTGAGTGTCAGCGTGCGAGTGTGTGGGCTAGTTTATGGGTGAGTGTCAGCGTGCCGAGTGTGTGGGTGAGTGTGTGGGCGAGTTTATGGGTGAGTGTGAACGTGCGAGTGTGTGGTTGTGTAAGTGTGAGCGTGCGAGTGTGTGGGTTAGTGTCAGCGTGCGAGTGTGTGGGCGAGTGTGTGGGCGAGTGTGAGCGTGCGAGTAGGGAGCAGTAGTGTGGCGGTTAGCGCGTTGCGCAACGAGTCTGGCCACCCGAATTCGATTCCCGCTCAGGGCCAACACCGGTGACAATTATCTAAAACGGTCCTGGGCCTCCCCTAGGTCGACTCAGCCTCAAATGAGTACCTGGTGAGGTGTGTAAACATCGCAACTAGGCAGACAAAGACGGCCGGGCGTGATGCTGGCCACCCATCCCCTCGTGTTCTGTGCCGGCCTTCATAGGTGCTCGCTAACAGCACCTGCCCCAACAGTCTGTTCAGGCTATACGGAGAATCTTTGTCTTTGTGTGGGCGAGTGTGAGAGTGCAAGTACGTGTGTGTGTGTGGGCGAGTGTGCGCGTGCGAGCATGTGGGTCAGTGTAAGCGTGCGAGCGAGTGTGTTGGCGAGGGTGAGCATGCGAGCGAGTATGTGGGCGAGGGTGAGCGTGCGAGTACGTGTGTGTGTGTGTGTGTGGGCGAGTGTGCGCGTGCGAGCGTGTGGGTCAGTGTAAGCGTGCGAGCGAGTATGTGGGCGAGTGTGAGCGTGCGAGCCTGTGTGGGCGAGTGCTGAGCGTGCGAGCGTGAGTGCACGTGTGTGCCGAGCCGCTCACGGAGCGTGGCGACGCGGGGCTTGCTGGCGGGTGTGTGGTAGCGGCGGCAGCGACGGCGCGCGGGTCTCCCGGCGGGTAGCGCACCACGTAGTGGTACTCGCCGTACGGCTCGGTCCAAGTCGCCTCCATGGGCGCCAGCGGGTGGTCGACGTCCAGCGCCTGCGCGCGGGAACCACGGGTTAAGTTTATTTTGACTCAATCTTAATTTTGGAGCTTTCGTGACTGCAGGAATTATTCTTTGGTTTTTTCGGTAAAGTCACGTATGCTATTATTTAATTTATTATTTTATTTTTATACGTGACTTTACCGAAAAAACCAAAGAATTTATTTTGACTCGTCGCACGGATGACGGGTCTCCCTTAAATTTCGATTTAAAGCTAACGTGACTGCAGGGATTCATCTTCTTGGTTCTTTCGGTAAAGTCACGTAGAAGGGAAGTAATAAAATAATAAAAATAAAACATAATAAAATAATTCTCACGACGTTTCGGCCACAACGCAAGCAGCCGTCCTCAGGTGAAGACCAGGTCATCATGTGAGAACGGGTCTCCCGTTTAGCCAGCTGCCGCGGCTATTTTACACGGGAGATCCGTGGTGCTGGGCGAGCCACAGTAGTAGCGGCGGCAGCGGCAGCGAAAAAACGTCAATATTTTGAGGTCCTTAAGGAATATATTGCGCAACTAACACACGAGGTTGCACGTTGTTGAAGATTGTGTCCGCTAACCAAGCTTTAGAGGCGTCTGAGGCCGTGGCTGCATTCTGGAAATGATTAAGCTGCTGCAAGGTTTGGCGCAAACGTTAAGTTAATCCACAAGTGGGGTGCCTTACCTGTCGCTGTCCCCTGAGTTGTTTCTGTAGCCTCTCTTTCTCCTCCCGCTCCTTCTTGTAGTCTTCTTCATAGGTGGTCAACTGCAGAGACGTGAATCATTTCAAAACTTATCACGCCTACCCACCCCTACCCTGCCCACCCACCACACCAATGACAGAAATGCCCAGCGCCGGTAGCGAGGAGTTAGTTAGCAAGTCAACACGTAACGTCTCACGTCGCCACCCTTTGCGATTCGTGGGATTTGTCACGATTCAGGGTCGTGATTCGATTCGAGGATTGTTTTCTTCTTTTTAAATCCTTTATATTAAGTTCACTTGCTTGCTTGCTTGCGCGCTTACGACCGTGCAAATCTTTCGGTCGTTTTTTAACCCACTTCCCGTGATCCAATCGAGCTGACATTTTCCACATAGACTCGTTGTGCGTGACAATTAATTTTCGTGAAAAAAAATGTGCAAAATTTTACACTTTTAAGGATTTTTTTTTTATATTTAATTACCAATTGCTTAATGCTGCCAGGCAATCATCTGACCCATAGGTGGCAGCCATCTCAAGCCAGAGGACGAGAGGACTCTAGCCGCCACGCATATAAAGGATTTATAGTGAAAAACTTTGTTTTTACGGGTACATTTTTTGTCATCTCATTTGTTTATCGTCGGGATCGTAGAGGTTTTTTGTAATTTCTGTTTCGTTTCTACAGTTTATTTTTTATTTTAATGCTTAAAGCCTCAATGTCAAACTGACATATCATTTGGATATCATTTGCATACACGAGTAAACGGCCTAACGACCAAATCACCCGGAGCTCAGAAAGCTAAGCGGGGTAATTCCGGTTTTTCCCTACACGTTTAGAAACCTGTGTTTAGAGTATTTAGCTGCGAAAACTTTCCACATGATGATAAGCGACTTTCTTGAACTATCATTTGTGGCCAGGTCACTTCTCAAAAAGAGCTATATGGCTCAGTAGGCCTTACCAGGTGTAAAAAAAAAAGAATTAGTTGATGTATTTTGAACTTCACCGTACATAGCTAACCGCGTTTAAGCATTGTTCAAATAAGTCTCCATGACCAGTGTGGGGTGGGGGAGACCATCATCCAGCAGTGGATTGACACGTAAATCCCAAATGAGCGATTCTCACACGCGCACAATTCGTTACGTGCGTGATGAGCGGAAAACTCAAAAGTTAATTGATTAATCATGACACGGCGAGTAATAATTAGTCATTAACGCATACCGAGCTTAATTATGTCGAGCGGGCATTTCATTTTTTCGATTTAAAGCTTTCGTGACTGCAGGGATTCATCTTCTTGGCTCTTTCGGTAAAGTCACGTAGAAGGGAAGTAATAAAATAATAAAAATAATAAATAAAAATAAAACATAATAAAATATTTTATTATGTTTTATTTTAATTATTTTATTACTTCCCTTCTACGTGACTTTACCGAAAGAACCAAGAAGACGGGCATTTCATGTTTATTGGGATTATCCAGTCCGCGGGGGAGGGGGAGGTTTTCTTTCGAAATGAATCATGACAAGTGATATTTAACAATTATAATCAGGGTGAATTACAACTCATTGCTCACCTTTCGTTGGAAATCCGCTCTGAGTCAATTCGCAACGGCCGTTCGCCGCGCACGCGAATCGGCACCGCACGGTTGGCCAAGTGCGGTGCGAAAGAAGTTCAACGTACATACGTACACGCCGCTCGGGGATTTAACCATTCCCACCCCCTTCGCAAAATCTGCCTCCGTTAGTCCCTGCACCACGGTTCCCGGTATCACAGTGGAGGAATATCGAGTCCGTTGTTTAACCGTCATTAAATTTGAGCCCGTAACATCGAAGCTCGATGGGGGCGACAACGGACTAATTGTTTCTTTCGCTTGTGATGCATTCAATGTCAACTGCTAAGAGGCAATGGTTGAAGGCGCACCCCTGCAATCGGATCTGGAGAGAAACTCCTCCAGGGCTACTGATCCCTACTCTTCCACGGAGGGCGAGGGAGTACCCACACTCTACCACATGCGACCTACCCATCTACTGTGGTGGACCCATTTATACTAAAACTGAACTTTAACAAACCAATTTTACCAGGTAAGGCTCACTGAGCCGTATAGCTCTTTGTCAGAAGCGACCTGGCTATCACAAATGATAGCCCAGCACAATGTGGGGTGGGGGTTGCGGGGCAATTAAAGTCACTTGCCAATGTTTTTTTAAACTGCCGAGCCAAGTTGGGTAAAACCGGCAAAAACTTTGGATTGCAAGTCCAGTGTGGCAACCCATTCCACCGCGGCAGCGTAACTTGCCAACCGGCAAACGACTTTTCTCGTCTGTACGATGAGCTCGGTTTCTGACGTCGCCTCTCCGTGCGTCGTCACCTGTGCGCGAAGAAGCCCGGTCTCTGTGACCTTCTGCTCCATCTGCAGCCGCAGCTCCTCCTTCTCGGCGTTCATCCGCTCGCGGTCGCATCGCTCCTTCTGGAAGTCTTCCTCGTAGATCTTAAGCTGACGGGATGAGACAACCGGCGTGACGCGTGGAAGATGATTACACCAACTATGAAACTAATTATATATGTATATATATAAAAAAAATTATTTGACCAGGTAAGGCCCAACGAGCGCTATACAGTTATTATTTAGACGCGACCTGCCTAGAAACGCTGGCTCAACGAAGTGGCTTATCATCATGTAGACATTTATAACAGCCAAATACTCTCAATGCATGTTTCTTAATGTGGATAGAGAAACCGGAGGTCCCGGAGAAAAATCAACATGACCACAGGTAGAACATGCAAACTCCAAATATACAGCAGACGTCAGGGTGGGGATGGAACCCACGACCTCCTGTATACCAAGTGAGGCAGATAACATCTCGCCACCGGGAAAGACCCTGCAAATGCTTTCTCAGCCACCGCTGGTGGATGGCCGCACACTAGAGGGAGGGAGCTCTTGAGCGCCCCTTTAAGCATGTTGGCCTACTCTTCCATGCTGGCCAGACGAATTGGAAGAGGTGGGATTATCCACACTTTACCCCACCACGCGTGACCTGCCGATCGACCAACTGTGGACAGAGGTGGGGTGGCGGGGGTATTGAAGAAACTAACCCCATTGTTTCAACCGCGACCTCTGGATTGCAAGTCAAGTGCGCTAATCCATGACCCCACCATAGCTATAAAAAAAACTGTGTTTCCAGATCAGCCCTCAACGAGTCCCAAGAACCTTTGTCAAGAGGGCAACGTTTGGCGAATTCCTTAAAAGAGTGTACGGAGAAATCCCACATGCAGATTGATTGGCAAACCTTGAGATGGGTCAGCCACCTACTTGCTGTACTGCCTCCATCAGGTGTCATGCTGCTCACATTTAATTATGTGTACCGTGCAACTACTCAAACAAGTTAGGGAAAATCACGTGTGTGTATGTATATTATGCAATGCTTTCCAACTTTAGTTTTGTCTTCAGAGGTATATAATTAGCAGTATGGAAGCAGATGGGTAAGGGTCAAATAATCCTCTATGCCCTGGTTTGTGTCTCCAAGTTGATGGCAACCCTTTGATTAATTGCCCCATCCCTGTCCCAATACAGGACTGAGAGAGCGTTATGCATCATGGCTCTCAACCGTACAATTGAAAAGTATTCAAAACAATCGACTCCGGAATCCAATCGCCGCCACCGATCATCACAATTCATCCAATCATTGCCTGGGCGAGTCACTCCACGCTCAATATTTTACGCAGAAAGTAACGATCGCGTCCACCATTTACAAGCAGCGTTCGCAGTTTGTGACGGGAGAGCGCTCGTTTGCATTCCAGGGAGGAATTAGTGGCGGGGTTCGTGGGGCCGGTGGTATCAACCGCGGTTGGGATCGATGCGGTTCAAGGGGCGGTTTGGATCAACCGCGGTCTACGGGGTGGTTGAGATCAACGGATTAATCAAGCCTTTATTTCTATAGCACTATTTCGTGCAAAACATGCAATTCAAAGTGCTGTACAGATAAAAGAAAACATTGTTCACGTGGTGGTTGGCATCCACGCGGTTCACGGGGTGGTCACTCACCTGCTGCCTCATGACGGCGATCTGCGTGCGCAGGTCCTCCTGGCGGCATGGAGCCTCGCCAGCCTGGGCTTGGTGCCAGGCCGCCGACTCTTGCACCACGGCGCAGCTGGGAGACACCGCCAGTAACTCCGCCAGGCTCTACACGCCAGCACGCACGCGTAAGGACACACGCGTATGTATACGCACCCACGCATTCACACGCGCGCGTGCACGCAGTCACAAGCACACAAAGTGCACCCGCACGCGCGCAGTAAAAAATTACAATGAAGTTCTCTTTTTCGATTTAAAGCTTTCGTGACTGCAGGGATTCATCTTCTTGGTTCTTTCGGTAAAGTCACGTAGAAGGGAAATAATGAAATAATAAAAATATCAAACATAATAAAATAATTCTCATGACGTTTCGGCCACAACGCAAGCAGCCGTCCTCAGGTTGAAGACGCTGTCTTTCCGACAGACCTGGTCTTCACCTGAGGACGGCTGCTTGCGTTGTGGCCGAAACGTCGTGAGAATTACTTTAAGTTTTATTTTTATTATTTTATTATTTCCCTTCTACGTGACTTTACCGAAAGAACCAAGAAGATGAAGTTCTCTTTCATTCGGAGAGGCTGACAGGAGCAGCGTTACCGTCGACGAACAGAGATTTAGGATACCCTTGTGGTTCTTTCGGTAAAGTCACGTAGGTATAAAGTAAAATAAATCACGACGTTTCGGGCGCAACACAAGCGTCCGTCACCAGGTGGGAAAGCATGGCCTGCTGCATGGTCTGCTGCTGAGGCCACTTCCTTATGACCCTTGGGCTACACCCATTTCAAACATTTTAAAACAGTCTGCCTCAACAGCAGACCATGCTTTCCCCACCTGATGACGGACGCTTGTGTTGCACCCGAAACGTCGCGATTTTTTAAAAATTTTCTTGCTGTGGATTTCACACCTGATTATGATTGCTTGTGTTGCAGTCAAAACGTCGTGAGAATTTTATTGTTTTATATTTTTATTATTTTATTGTTTCCCTTCTACGTGACTTTACCGAAAGAACCAAGAATATATATTTGATTATAATTTTTTTACTTTTATTATTTTTACCTACGTTACTTTACCGAAATAACCAAAGAGTATGGATTCCTGCAGTCACGAAAGCTTCAACTCAAGATATTGATTTAGGATGTTATTTGTTTCAAATTCTGGCTGGGGCAGTTCGCAGAGGTCAGAGCACTGCAAAATGAACCGGGCGATTCGAGCGGCCCGAGTTTGATTCCCAGCCTTGACTGACATCGGTGGTGAGAGCGATATCCGAAACGGGCCTTCACCAACCCGCACTGACACCACGATTGTGACACAATCATGGAGAGAGACCTTCCATCCAGCAGTGGACTGGCAAAAGAGCCGTACATATACATCACAAACGAGCAATTCTCACACGCACAATCCGATGCGCGTTATCACGAGCGCAAGCACCGATTTTCATCGACGACGCAGTACACGCCGAATATAAAAGCCTATTACTGCCGCGCAGGTGTTAAATATCGTCATAGGAATTATCCAGTCCGTAGCGGGGGAATGTTTCTTTTTATTCAAAGTGAATCATTGCAGGTGATATAATCCAACGATAACAATAATAATCTTTGGATGAAAAGCCACTGTGATGAGTCAGGTTTGGCGGTGGGTGGCTGTGACAGCGGACGTGCGGGCGCTGCCTGCTGCTTGTGTTTAGTTTGCTGTCGCTTCACCCGCTACTCCGATGAGCACGGTTGGCTACGTACGGCGCGAAAGAAATTCAACATACGTACAACATACATACAACATACATACAACATACACACCTGGTTGAGACGCCACACCTCCCGTTCCAACAGATCTTTGTGCCGCGTGGTCCCCTCCAGCTGCTCCTGCGCCGTCTTGGTTCTCTTCTTCTCCTCCGCCAGCTCCTTACGCAGCCGCTCCCGCTCGAGCTGAACATGCGCAAAGCGTGCACGGGTGAACAGTGACATGGTTTAGTTTGCGTAAAGTCTCTGCAGATGTACGAGCTGCACCGCAATACGATTTGGATTTGAAACACATGCCGAGCATCTGTGGTTTTTCTTTTAGAAAACTAAATTCTTATATTATTTTCCAGGTGAAGGCCACATGAGAAGTTCTTCTTCAGGATGTGACCTGGCTCATGGAAGTGGCTTTATCATCATCATCATCATCACACGTGGGAATTTAAAAGAGCAGACAAATACTCTTAAACGTACGTTTTCTAAACGTGGAGGGTAAAACCGGAGGAACTGGAGAAAAATCCACGCGACCACCACACAACAGGCATCGCCAGGGTCTAGAATCAATACCACGACCTCCTGCGAACCAGGCGATGGAGACAACATCTCCTTGCCATCTTAGCGCCCCATTTTATAACCGCGGTCATCCGTCAGGCCCGCTGATTTCCGTCCCACTCGTAGTAATCACCGACCGTGATAAAAACACGCACACATCGCCGACAGATAATTTTTGTCGCCAATTTTTCGTGAATATTAAAAAAAATCAGCACGGCCGGGCACCTCTTCACGATCCAGACGGTTCTTGGCGACGACGAGCGTGCGGTCGTACTCGCGCTGGCGCCGTTCCTGCCCCTCGCCCGCCGTGGCCATCTGCTTCTGCGCCGCAGACAGCCGACCCCGCAACTCCACGACCTGGCGCCGGTAGAGTAACGCGCGCCGCCCGTTAGCCGGAGGCGCCAGCAACGCCGCTCGCTCGCAAGACCCCGCTCGACGATCGCCTAAGGCCTTGTCGATGAGACCGGCCAGGCGCCAACTTGTATGCATGTAACATCTATGGGACCTTTTTTTGGCGTTTTTTTCTAATTTTCTTGCTGTGGATTTCACACCTGATGATGACTGCTCGTGTTGCAGTCGAAACGTCGTGATAATTTTATTGTTTTATATTTTAATTATTTTATTGTTTCCCTTCTACGTGACTTTACCGAAAAAACCAAAGAGTATGGATGCTTGCAGTCACGAAAACTTCAAATCTATTCTTCCACATGTTTCGGACTGTATCTACCAGACCTGATCGACTGGTCTCATTCATAGCTCCAGTGGGCTTGCTATTATCGGAAGGAAGAGCATTCCAGAGGGCCGCAGTAGCGCATCTGAAAGCGCGCGATGCAGCGACCGTCTTTGCTAACAAGGCACCAATTCATCTATCACAGCAGTGACACGCGCACACTCAGAACCCTCACGCCGTACTCGCAAACAGACGCGAAGATTCGTGGGGTCAGGGTCCTCCCCCCCTAAAGTGTTCATTCATTTTTTTTTTTTAAACTGTCCCCATCTCTTAAAACAAATTATGCAAAAAAGTTCAGAAGTTTAGAAATGTCCTAAAATCCAAACAAGATTATCAATACCACAGGCCCCAGCTTTCTTACAATTATAATAAAGGAAGGCAAATCGCAATCTGCACGATGATAGTTGCTCAAGAACTGTAACTTCACAGATTGACTTATGGATGGACAAGTGAAGTTAATTCGTGACAAAATTCTAACCACCCTAAAAAGTATTACTCCTGAGGAGTTAAAGAAGTTTACTATTCAATCGTCTGCCAGGTTCATATCGACTATCCACAGATATGCGCCATGGGAATGATGTTCATACGCATGATTAACAAATAGAGAGAGAAGTTATATAACAGCACGACAATTAATGCTGCCACCAGTTTTTCTCAAAAAAATATTAGTTACAATTATTATTTTATCCAAAAGTTCAACACAACAGAAGCAGATAATGTACGAGACCAAAAGCACTGGTTGCCGTGCTGCCTGCTGTGCATTGCAGCTGCAAGCAAGCTTTACCAAACACACCGACAATGCACCGTTATGGACAGGGGTGGTCAAAGCTGCTTCAACAATGCCGACAAACGGAGCAGAGAGTGCTTTTGTCCCGGCAAAGCCATTACATCTGCGCTCGCTCACGCAACTGTGCGTACACACGTGTGCGTACACAGGTGTGTACGCGTACGTACACATACGTGTGCGCGCTTGCATGCGTCGCGGGACAGCGGCAGTGCCGTGGGGCCCAGCAGCGCACTTTGCTGCGAACCCAGCGACCCGAGTTTTATTCCCGGCCAAAGCCAACATCAGTGACGAATACCCGAACCGGTTTTTGGGCCTCCCCGAGGTCGACTCGACCTTCAATGAGCACCTGGTGCAGTGTGTGTGTGTAAATATCGGCACTAGGGGAGACAAAGGTGGCTGGGCACGTGATTGGCCACGCCACCCCGTGCGGCACCGCTGCTCGCCTTTAATATTGGACGCCCGTTAACAGCACTTTCCCCAAAAGCCTGCATAGGTTATAGGAGGGGACCTTTGTCTTTGTGCACACGCGTCACTGTGCACCTACGCCTGCCCTACCTTGGCCTCGTACTGCTGTTTCATGGTCCGGAACTGCTCGTCCCACTGCTTGTTCACCTCCAGCAGCTGGAAAAAACCAACAACGTTAACGTTTCCCATCGTCACGCAAAACAACGCACGCAACACCCATTCGCATCGCTGGCAAAGCGCAGGGCGATCCATACGGCGGGGAACAAACACAGCGCTGCAAGCTTTTGGAAGTCAACCCAGCATAAGACGGCGTTTATTCGCGGGCTGTGTGCCGAATAAACGTGTAACAATCCGCACCCACGGCCTGGCGATCTCACAAATTGTTGCGGCTTAAGGGCTGCGATTAACATTTAAATATTAATCCTGTAACCGCCTCGTCGCTACAGTCTCTCCGGCGTCGTTGTCTCTCTCTTGCTCGTGCGACTTTGGTCGCTCGATTTGCCTCAATGAAACGTTAGCAACATAATAAATTGAAGAACATCAATTCTCTCATGAACACGATTTGACGAGTGAATCGTGACCCCCCCCTTAAATCCACAAATCAAAGAATCGTTGCGGCTCAAAACCTTTGGAGTGGAACGATGCTGCATTTCAGCGAGTGATATCAAATGTTAAGCGGATGCTTCGTCTATTTAATCTTGTGAGAATCGTATACGCTTTATGCGACGAGTTCACACCTCTTAAAGTATATATATATATACGAATCTAAAAGCCAGCCAGCAGTGACGCTTGCCGTACAATTAAAGAGAGAACCGAATCGCGATCCTGAATCGCGGCGACTCGGCAAAATCCTCCCCCCCGCCCGGGGTGGGGGGGTACACGCGGCGAATTGTTGCGCCTGCCGTCGGGCGACGGACCCGCCACGCAGTTGCCGTGCGGGAACGCGACTCACCTCTTTGCGCTGCCTCTCCAGCGTCCGCACCTTCTGCGAGAGCACCTCCACCGCGGCGGGGTCGTCGCCCAACGCTTTGTCCGCCTTCTCGATCATCTTCACAGGTCGGCGTTGGCAGGAGGAGGAGAAAAAAAATACAGATTTTTTTTTAAATGAATAACCGAGCGCTCGGAGGCGCGTATGTGCGCGGCTACAGAACCGTGTTCGCAAAAGCCGTTGGCCGACTTGGTTGATTGACTGCGGGTGCTCACAGACCCATTTGGCCACGCGTGAGCCGTGGTGAGCGAGTCCAAACGTAAAAACCCTGACAATTCCTTTTCGTAAAAACCCACAATACGCAAAAAAAAAAACCTTCTCCCACAGTCTGAAAGGCCGTGTAGTCACCCGGCAGACTGCGTGGTGAATAAAGTCACCGGCGTAACTTTTAGCCTTGCCATTGTATTTTCAACCACGGGGAAATTCCCACCTCTGTTCCCTAAACCCTTTGGCACCAAAAATGTCAATACTGGTCCAGAGTTTTCTGGTTTCAATATCACCATTGTGGACGACATTGGGTCCGGAAAACCCGTAAGCTGACAGATAAATGAATCAACATTTTTACGTGGAAAGATAATGTTGTTTTTTTCTTCTTTACTGCTATACAAGGTGGTGCGTAACGCCCATGAGAGTGGCACATCTGCACTCTGAAAACACTTTCATTTTCTCGGTAGCAGAAAAAGCGTATTTGGCAAAACTACGGATAGTTAATCTTTGTTTTCGTAATCTCCGGATTACGTGACGCTCCAGATAGTAAGATGCACTCCCAAACTTGTGCCTCGTGCCTATGAAATCATGCGCATTTGGCAAAAGACAAATAAGACTAAAGATTCCCCGTACAGCCTGAACAGACTGTTGGGGCAAGTGCTGTTAGCCAGCACCTTTGAAAGCCCGCACGGTGGACGAGAGGGTGGGTGGCCAGCACCACGCCCGACTGCCTTTGCCTGCCCAGTGGCGATGTTTTACACACCGTATCAGGTAGTCATTTGAGGCTGAGTCTACCTAGGGGAGGCACAGGACCGGTTCAGAAAATCGTCACTGGTGTTGGCCGTGAGTGGGAATCAATACCAATACGCGCCATTTGCCAATGAGTGACAGTGCCAGGCCAGGTGCACTTTGAGGCCACATGAAATGTCGAAGGTTCGCTGACAGGTCACGGAGGTGCCATGGGTTGACCGACATAGATACACACACACACGTACCTTTGGCTTCTCAGATCTGGATGTTTGATTGTGTCTTGAGGCCACGGCCGTGAGTTGGTGAAATTCCCTGAGGCCGGCATCACTGTCGCTCTCACTCTCGCTCGCTTTGTCATTCTTCTCGCCGAGCGGCCTCTCACATTCACGCCTGAAAAGTTAAGACAAAAGACAAAGATCCCCCGTATAGCCTTAACAGACTGTAGGGGCAAGTGCTGTTAGCGAGCACCTATGAAGGCCGGAACGGTACACGAACGAGGGGGTGGGTGGCCAGCACCACGCCCGACCGCCTTTGTCTCCCCAGTGGCGATGTTTACACACCGCACCAGGTACTCATTTTAGGCTGAGTCGAGTTAAGACACACGCATGCGCACACACATTCACGTGTCAACCTCTACGGGAAAATCCATACGAACGCGCACTGCATCGGGGTCACGACTGTAAAGAGATGGATCTATCATGAGCGTTGCTCATCATCATACTCGTAAAAATCACCGTCTGGCAATATTTCACGCGAACATACAATTAGATGGGGGCAACAATAACATCGATTAACTGACTAATGTCGATCATTCTTGCTCACAACACAAGTATTGAATGCACGCGTGTAATCAATTACGTTGATTTGATTCGTATGTGTCGTATGTACGATGTTCGCGTGACGTCAGCAGCAACATCAGGCTGCTACATACCACCACAACCATACAGTATAATAAAAACAAGGTTTTATGGCGAGCTGGCGACATCTCTTGGCGCTTTGACGTGACCCACCCCCCCATCTCTGTAAGAGTGTTTACTCACATGGAGAGCAAGGCCTAGCCTGAACTGAACACGCCTAATTAACAGCTTAGTTTGCATATCAGGGGAAGCGTTTAAGCATCCTTATCTGTCTCGATGCGAAGGCCGTGAAAATCTACGGCCGACCGTCAAAATCGCAACCGGTGTCGCGCAACAACCACACTTAAAAAAAAGTGCTTACCGAAGCGTGCCACCGCCTCGCGATCGGGATATCCCATGCCGTTGGCTAAGTGAAAAAATTCCACTGAAGTCAAGCACCCCCCCTCAGGTGTGGCGAGTAAAAGTTGCAGCAGCTCTGCAGCCGGGCTGACATTCCCCAAACCAGTCACATTCCGGAGAGGCTCGGTAAAACTACCAATAGTTCCTCTTTTTAACAGGCAGGCTTTCGCGACCAATATCATCCATGAAAGTTTTTTTTATCTAACCCAAAAACGAGATCTAACCTAAAAAAAACCTGTATTATGGAGTTCCTGATAATTGTTTTTTACCCTTTTATCTGGCAACAAAACTGACATCTTTTTTTACGAGGAGTCATGTTTGCATAGACCACAATACCTGCAGTCATAATTCATTATGATGCATTATGACTGCAGGTATTGTGTTCTATGCAAACATGACGCAAAAAAGGTGTCAGTTTTGTTGCCAGATAAAAGGGTAAAAAAACAATTATCATATTTTTTACTGGCAAATGAGGTACCAATGGTATGGAGTTCCTCTTTTCGTGGAAAATGATATTGGCTTAATGAATTACTTGAAATAAATACAGAATTAAGCTATTATAGACATTACAATGCTCGTAACACATCTCTTTATCTCGTCAGATTCTTCTTGATAATTGTATCTCATCATTTTCTCTCGATGCAGTCGTGTAGAGTTCCAGATGCCGACAGCAAGTTCATAAAACAACGAGGGAATATCATATGTACGCTGAACTTCTTTCGCACCGTACGTAGCCAACCGTGCTAATCGGGCACGTGCCTCTAAACGTTATCTAAACGTTGTCTTACCGACGAGCTTCGGTCGTCTGATGTTGTTGCTTCCCTTCCCCTTCAAGCTTCTTCTTCAGCTCTTGGTTTTCGGTTGCGAGTTTCTCGCAGAGGACCTGCGAAACCAAAACCGGTTATTTGAAAGTGCACGGCCGTGAACGGCGAGTTACTCATTAACCAACACACACGTTTCATTCCGGCAGCCTTGCAATGATATATATACGACCAAGTAAACAGGCACCGGAAAGAATTGAGGAACGAAGACCACTTCTGTTATTACGGTCAATGTCAGAGGAATCGGCAGCAAACAGCAACCATGCGAAAAGCAATCACGACGCCAGGGGAAGGAAGCCGAGGCGAAGGATGAGCGCCGAGACAAAGGTCAACTTATTCTTGGTTCTTTCGGTAAAGTCACGTAGAAGGGAAATAATAAAATAATATTAATATAAAACAATAAAAATTCTCACGACGTTTCGACTGCAACACAAGCAATCATCATCAGGTGTGAAATCCACAGAAAGAAGAAAGAAACGTCATGAGAATTTTTTTAAATATTTATATTATTTTATTATTTCCCTTCTACCGAAAGAACCAAGAAAATGAATCCCTGCAGTCACGAAAGCTTTAAATCAAGATTTAAAGGTCGACTTGTGGAGTGGAATTACACGGAAACATCAGCAGCCGATGGGAGAGGATTATGATGACGACGGTGGTCGTCGTCAACGGTGGAGGAACTGCTACCCGCTATCGCCACCTCCGATTAGTGCCGTTGGCTATGTACGGTGAGAAAGAAGATTAAGGTACGTACACAAAGAAAGCCTTTGTAAAGAGCCTGGGTGGGGAAGAGAATATCAAAAACACATGCGGAGGAGAGGTTTGACCAAAACAGGAGTGGCCATTTATGACTCCTAAGGTGATTTCCTGGAGCTTTTTTGGTAACCCCCCGAACCCGCATTCGATCCATGTGATATTTTGCTAAAACACAAACAAGCACACTCATAAAATGGTTTACTGAGCGTTACGGCGTTTCACTCTCAGTTCCCCTGAAAATTGAGAGGAAAAAAAACTTCCCACCCAAGGTGAAAAGGAGATGAGCGATTCTTGGCGCGTGTGTATAAATGTGTCTGTAGAACGGTGGTGCAGCGGTTAGCGCGCTGCGCTACGAACCCGGCAACCCGTGTTCGATTCCCGCTCACGGTCAACATCAGTGACAATTATCTGAACCGGTCCTGGGCCTCCCCTAGGTCGACTCGACCATAAATGAGTACCTTGTTTGTGTGTGTAAACATCGCCACTGGGGAGACACACAGGCGGTTGGGCGCGGTGCTGGCCATCCACAGCCACTTCCGTTTACCATACCTTCATAGGTGCTCACTAACAGCACTAGCTCCAACAGTGTCTTAAGGATATGGGGCAATGTTTGTTTGTTGGACTGACGGATTATTTATTTTGCATCTGTATCTGAAATAAATCACCTGCAAAATCCCTTGTTCGGTGACACATTAAGAGTAAACACGTTGCGACGCGAATACAACTGTTTTAAATCTACACCATCCGCGGTTGTAATGTTCACACGACGTCATGTTAACTTAACGCAAAGCCAAGGATGGATACACGACAGCCCAGGCAGCGCGCAACAACATCGCGCCGCGGTCAAACCCGGGAAGTAAATGGGACACACAAGGTCACTCCGGCTAGTGTTTCCATGTCTGAGAAGTAAATGTTTAATTCAACTTTGGGGGGGGGACAAACAAAACCCCATGCCTTCATTAATGGTGAATTGGTAAAACAAAGTTCTATAAATGGCCCAAACAAAAAAAACATCCCCAGCAGCTGCAATTTTCCCCCACTTACTGATTAAATAAGGTCCCACGGCAGCTACCGAGTGGAAAGAATCCACGGCAGAGTGCACAGGGCCAAACAAAACCTGTCCCTGGCAACTTCCGTTTCCAGCGCTCCACTCTCCAAACGAAAGCAGAAAGCTTACCGTCTCCAACAAATAAATAAAAACAAGCCAATTGATGATTGTATTGTGTAAGGAGGGAAAGATGCTGCAACAGTGATGTAATGGTTAGCACACTGGTCTGCAATCCAAAGGTCGCCTTTGGATTGCAAAGGTCGCCTTTGGATTGCAAGTATTGCTGCAAGGCAGGGTGAGTTTCTTAAACCCCCCTGTCCACTCAGCATTATAAACGGGCAAACCAGTTAGTCATACCCCACCACACATGACCTATCGATCGGCAGGTCACGCGCGATGGGGTAAAGTGTGGGTATGCCCGCCTCTTCCAAGACGTCTGACCAGCATGGAAAAGTATTAACTATTTTTTTACAATTTTTATTTTACCAGGTAACGTTCACACTGACCCCGAGTCCTGTATATTTGGAGTTTGCATGTTCTCCCTGTGGTTGCATGGAATTTTCTCCGGGTCCTTCGGTTTTTCCCTCCACATTCAGAAACATGCGTTTAGAGTAATTGGCTACGATACATTTCCACACGAATAGCCACTTCGTTGAGCTATCATTGGCGGCCAGGTCCCTTCTGAAAAAGAGCTACATAGCTTTAGCGGGCCTTACCTGGTAAAAATAGAAATTGTTCATAATAGTCATCTCAGTCTTGTAGTCGCCATACCCCAAGGTGATGGGCCCCATTCAGGAAACAAGAGTTATGGTAAAAATGGGGGCAGGTGAAGGAGCCGTTGGAAATTCCCACGTCACAGTTGCATTAACTTGTACCGTACAATAGTCTCTGCTGCTTCCTTTAAACACAAAGGGGTCCCTTTCACCCGCGGAGGAAGCTCGGCACGATACGGTTAGGTGCCTGGCTATTTCAAAGAGTGGGCCATTGTTTATGAATAATGAACACACTGTCTAGGTCTGGTACCGCATTAAGTCACCGCAAACAAGGCCATGGTAGGAAACCCTGTGCATAATCCGTCACATAGTTTTGCAATGTCTCAGGACAGCAAAACTTCTCAGATACCTAACTTAAAAAATATGTGAACTACTCAATGCAAGACTTCCTTTTGGTTTAGACTTCTTTTCGAGACAGCGATAGGTGGATTTCGTCAACGACCCGGCGACCCAAGTTCGATGCCAGGTTAACGTCAGTGGCGAGTGGGTATATCAACCAGTCTTCAGGACCCCCTTCACTGTCCTGCACTAACCAGGGTGGTTAAGTATAGTCAAACAACCCCATGGCCTTCATCCAGCAGTGGATCGAAAAACATTGTAGCCTCAATTGGTTCTCACCTGGTTCACCTAAAGGACCTGTGTGTGTGTGTGTCCATGTGTCTGCTTTAAAATAAAAAATAAACAATGTATGCAACTTCTTATTGATAACTTAATGGATAAGCTGAAATGTGTCCTGAATGAACAAGTCCCAAGACTCGTTAAGGCTTTTTCTTTGCAGGACTACTTACGAACAAGTTAGGTTCGAAAGGTCTGTTTGTAAGTCGATTTGTTCGTAAGTCCAACTTGACTCCTGCCTATTTCAAACATGTATGGCACGTACACTAAACACGGGGAACAGCTTTAAAAGTTGTATAATCTCCTGTAGATGCCACTGGTTCTTCATGTTCTGCAGAAGTAGATGCCACCACTGCCATCTATTGCGCGGCGGTTGAACTTACGACTCTCGGTCCGAACAGTCAACTGGACATACGAGACAGGTTCGTTCGTATCTCTGAAAGTGCACAAGTCGAATGTTCGTAAGTAGAGGAGTCCCTGTATATATACAAATTATTAAACAAAGATATTAGATTTTTTTTATCGACAATGTTATTTTCCAGTGCACGGGTTAAGAAAACTCCACACATTCTTGTAGACCGAGACGGCGAAATTCGAGTTGCCATCGGCTCTCCCAACACACCTGCATGCACGAGGTCTTCTGGCTGTTCTGCTTCACGACGCCGGACAGCTGGTGGAACTTGTGAGCCAGCCGGGCAAAGTGCTCCGAGAGGTCCGTCTGGGCCCGCTGAGCCACGTCGGGCGACTCCCCCGGCGTCTCCGACTGGCCGGCGGGGGATGTTCCCCGCGCGGCAGCGTCGGCCGACTCGGCGAGCTCCGTGGCGCAGTGAATGATGGAGTCTTCCAATCGCTGCATTTGTGCCGACACGTCTTTCAGCTGCACGTCTGGTGGTTGGAGGGCCGCGACTTCGTGCTGGTTTTCCGGGGGAACGAAAAAAACGTGGAGAGTGACCGACCCCCGAATTGGCAAACCGGTTACGTTAAAGGGAGTCTCCCCGTTTTAGTTCGGGGGGTTGCGGGGGGGGGGGGGGGGGGCCTTCAGGTGTAGGAAGAAACGTGCGCACGGAAGCCACGTAAACGCACGTACAGGCAAGACGCTAGACTTAATTTGAACTGGCGAGGCACGTTGAGCTCAACAGCCCAAGACCGTGGCGACAGTTGGAGGACGTTGCAGGAACAAAGAGTTACATAGAGAGCAATGGAGTGACAAAGACTCGCAAAGTTACATAGAGACTCGGGCTATTATTTCAGCTGCTAAGGCCACATTGAGCTTTACAGCGCAGCAACTTCAGCAGTGGCTGTAGTTACAAGAAACTGCAGGGTGGAAATATTCAAAATTACAAGAGCAAAAACTTAAATCATTTACATACAAAAATGCCAAAGCTTACTCCAAACAGGATAAAAATACAAGTGCGTAAAAAAATCAATTGTGCCAAAATATCCTGTGACAAAGATTAGGACATTCAGATTAGGTGCATGCATGCACTCACATTCAAGTGTTCAAATGTAAATGCCACTAATCATGCTACGCAGCAAGTATAACAAAATATTTATTATAGAAAGTATTGTTGGCAGTTTTGCCCAACAACAATCTTTATCAAGAATAATACTCCCAACATTAACAATACTAACAACACTTTTCTGGGTGGGTGTGGGTAATCTGCGTGACAAGGGAGTTTAAAGTTTTGTTTTAGTATAGCGGAATTGTAGTGTTCATGATTTCCCAGGCATAATAAAATTAAGTCTCTACCGGCAATGCTTAAACAAATATAAGACAGATGTTTTAACATTAAGAAGAAAGCATGAATATAAAAAATACACACCAGGTTAGTCATAACCACTGCCTAACAACTAAACTATTTCATTTTATCAGGTCAGGCCCACTGAGCTATAACGGTTCTTTTTCAGAAGCGACCTGGCCACAAATAATAGCTCAACAAAGTGGCCTATCACGCGTAAATATATAGCAACGAAATACTCTAAAAAGCATGCTTATAAATGTGGAGGGGAAAACTGGAGGACCCGAGGAAAAATCCATGAAACCACGGGGAGAGAGACGCAAACTCCAAATACACAACAGGCGTCAGGGTCGGTATCGAACCGACGACCTCCTGTATACCAGGCGAGGTAATTAACATCTCGCCACCGTGGTGGGCCCCAAGTGAAATGTGCAAAGGGGTCGACATTTTGGCCAAATGACCTTCCTTTAGGGTAACCTGGACTCGCCGATGGACAGACTTAAATTTGGAGATTGCACTTTTTACACTGTGGTGGTGACTTTAAGCAAATTAAGTTGACAAATGAGCTAAAGTTTGACTTATGAACAATGTTCTATTGCTGGATGATAGATAACAAATGTGTTCTCTTGAGAATGTAGACCTGCATCAAAGGATAAAACTAAGGACCACATAGTTAATAACAGAAGTCTGCGGTCATACAAATGGAGGAGGAACAGCAAAACTACACAAAATCTTAAATGTCTCTCACCGTCAAATCTTAATTGAATTTTTTGACAATTCTCTGATTATTTTCTGTATGTTCCGGAATTATAAAAAAGTAAAATTCTAAATAGAAAATGTCAAGAGTGGAAGCTCAAACCAAACGCTTAATTGGGCAACCGCAAGTTGAAATAAATAGATAAATTATGGTTATTATAATGGTTATAATTGTTGTGGTTTTGATAATAAATCAAACAATCAAACTAACTTGTACTTCATTTTCTATACCTTTTATTTTTGGTAACAAAGGTTATTAATTCAAATGAGGTGACATCCAGTTCTCAGTGGGTTAAAGTTAAAACTTAAAATAAATAACAAAAATGTCTGCTAGAATAAAAATCAGTGGGAGGTTGGAGGCTGTTTGCACAGTGGTTTATCGACAGTGACCCGAATTTGATTGCTGTTAAAAGACTGACACACACCCTAAGTAAACATTTGTACCAACTCCTGGACACTACCCACTTCACTTCCCCACCTACACCCATCAACGTGGTGAGTTAACAAAAATAATTAAATGACCAATGCAGTGCGAAGTGGCCTTCTCATCCAGCAGTAGAATGACAATGGATGACATTGTATTAGTTCATTACTGCCAATAACATATCAATAATGATCAACAAAATCATACTACCAAACCAGCTCACACTCAAGACATCCGAACTCCTGAAGATTGAAAGAATGTAATCAATTATGTAACAAAGGCAGGTGCGCGTGAAAGAAACCGCTTCGGTTAACACTTACCATTGGCGGTTGCGGTTTAGAAGAGCTTCCTTCGAATTTCAGATATTGCTTCGACCAAGGGATACCAGGTGGGATCACGGCTTCTAAATTTAAAAAGATACAATGCATTTAAAGCACAATGCTGAATTCAGCGGGACACAATAACTCAGTTGGACACCGACCAAATGCGTGGCTTTCTCGACCAGAACGATAAAGCTAAGAGGATTTTTTGGCGTGGTCCCTTTTGTACGACTACTGTTTTACTCGGTCGATGAGTCAACCAACATATTATTAACATGACCAGCTCCTCGAGGTGGAAAGCCCTTGCGTTAAAATACATCTCTGTACAGCTCAAACCATATCATCATCTTTATTTTGGAAAAAAACATCGCCGTCTCATGCTCACATTTTCATATAAACAGTTTTATAATGTCACCCTCTGCCCTCTGCAATTATAGACCCATGAAGTTTGGGGTTTTTCTTATTTACCCCAAACGTGATTCGCCACCGATAGCCAAAGCTTTTAGCCATTACTTTTCCCAACCGAGTTTCCATTGCCGTGATTAACAACAGCAGCTTATAAATGACGTACTATTCTCAGCTAGACCAGTTTATCCCTCAGCTCAATATACACGATGAGCAGCCCATTACACGACATCGATATAAATACCTCTGTTCATCACAGGGGGAAACCTGTCACATTTAGTCAAGTCTTAGTGCTGTGGATTTGATTTAGTCAGTACAATTTGTTGCAATGACTAAATTACAAACCCAAAGACTTGGCTAAAATCCCACCGGTCACCGTCGACTATGCCAATACTAAAACTCTCACGAGATTATCACCGGGTATTGTACATCTCCGGCTATAGCTCCGAACGAGTGACTGAATTTTAACATTCCTATCGCCACGTGCTTCCCTCTCCGAATGAACAACCGCTGTTGAATCGCGGCACTTATCTTATTCAACCCCCTGGAGAAACGACAAACTGAATCGACTCCCATAGAGAATCCCAACCTCACACACAGCCCACCTGACCAAGCCCAGCGTTCCAGTACCAACGCCACTTGGAGCTGTGCCAAACGCCTCTTAAAAAAAAAAAACTCCAAAAAAAACTCCGCAATGTTACGCAGACGTAAACAAACAAATACTCTACGCCTACCACCCCGGCGCTGCTGTGGGTGGTGCTAGCGGGGCCGCCCACCTGTCCAAGCGGAGGAAGAGGAGCTGTTTGGGGAACGACAGCGTTGAAAAGAAGCGTTGGGAGGAGACTCACGACCCAAGTCCTCTACCCTCTGCCTTAACCGCAGTGCCTCTGCCTGGGACTCATTAAGGAGCAGGCCTTCAAGATGCACAGAACGAGACGAGGGCACAGGGTCAACACCGCCACGACCAACCACTTTTGTATGCGCGCTCTTTCACCGTCGTGTCGATGGGGCGGGGGGAGAGGGCAGGGCGAGGGGGGGGGAGTCGATTAATCGCGTGTGTTACGACTTTTATATTTCAGGTAACAAAGGTAAAACGTTGCTCAATTGTTCTCTTTCGTTGCTCAACGACCGAATCGCGCATAAACGGCATGCTTTCAAGAACAACCGCTACTGAGCTCACTTTCTAGTCAAGGAACATACATCATTACGCAAACTTCGGTCATCCTTGCAGCAGCGGCTTATGGTTAACCATCAAACAACGACGGTCACGGCATCGCGCGCTTTCAAATGCCCTTCTGCGGCCGTCTGGAATGCGCTTCCTTCCGATATTAGGAAGCGACTGGAGCTATGCACTTTTAAATCTAGATTGAAAACTCATTTATTTAGAACTGCTTTGTGTCCAGTTTGTTGTCCTTCCCCCCACACCTCCGATTAGAACGGGTGGCTATGTACAGTGCGAAAGATACATGCAAATATGATGGGCAAAGTTCTGTCCTATTATGTTTTGGTCCTGTTACGGGCACAGCAGTATTGACGAATGCGTTGAGTTGACAAACGTGCACCACCACCAATGCAGCATCATAAAACTGATCACTTTAATAAATTTCAATCGTCCTTTCGGAATAATATTACAAAATAAAATAATTGAATTCAGAATTTTCAGTGAGCAGCGTATTGTCACGACGTGTCAGGCAACGGCCACAGAAAATAAAAACATATAAACTACTTCTGACGTCCCTGAATTTTGCGTGCTATATTATAGCAGAATTGTCAATGATTGTGCAAAAAAGCTGAGCCTTTTCCAGACCACAGGCTCAAAATGACAATTGTAATGCTGCACATCTTTCAGGGTTGTTAAATCTATCATAATTTACAGAATGCCGAACAATAATCAATATTGGCATTAAACATGAGGGTAAATGACATCTTAGGTTGAGAGATATTCCTGCCAAGAAAATTAAATCAAGAATAAGATAAAATTAAATCATGAAGGGAAAAAAAAAAATCTGATTTCTGGATCAAAGAGTGGGCCCGTAGTATGACGACAATTTGTTGCATCGCGTGGGAGGGTTACAGTGAATCACTAACATCTTTGGAATTAAACATTTGAAACATTAAAACATTTACAATAGATTATCATGAATTTAATTATCATGAACTATGCTACAGCCCTAAATCAACAACAAGAGCAGCAGCAAAGAGTAAATAAATTCAGAAACAAAACTTACCAAGGCTCTGCAGGCCTCTCATCCGCTCTCGCAAAACCTCATTCTCTTGAAGGATCTTTTGAATTTCTGCCGAGGTCACCCAGGATGAACCTGGTGTTGTCTCCACTGTGAACGCCGGACGACCAGACAGAACACGGGCAAGGCAGTGATGGTGCTGCCGTGCAACTCGAGCCCAATGGAAGTGTGCATCACTCTTTCCGTGGTGGACAATGCTACACTTGTAGGTGATTCAGTCAGGAAACATCGTGTCTGTCAGACCAACTGTGATGACTCAGGAGGGGCTTTTCCAGTCTGATGAAATGTAAATCCTCACCACGTGGAATTTGTTTTGTATAAACGTGCCATCATCTGCAAAGAATTGCAGTGGTCTCAAAGTTTCTCATATTTTAGCTCTGTGCCAGCGACTATAATTGCCAGAGGTCACAGATGCATTGATGGGCATCTTTCAACATCAGGCAGCACGTTAACTTGTCAGCCGTGAGCAAATGGACTCTTAATAAAAAGGAAGCAGGTCAACCCGTGGTGTGAATTATAAATCGGCCCAACATGTCACTCCGCCAGGTGCCGTCAAAAAAAAAAGAGGCAACGAACTTATTCCCTTATGTAGGTGTGCAGTGGAGATGTGTCTACGCGTCCATCTCTTTACTGATCTTTGGAAACATATAAACCATGTCCCAGAAAGGCAAATGACATACTGAAAGGCCACAATGTTTTACAATGCCCTGAAAGTAATCTATCTTATAACTTAAAAGTACTTCCTCTCAATGTAGCTGATAATGAAAATGACACTAGTTTCGCCATGAAGGCCACAATTTTTAACAATGCCCTGAAAGTAAAGTATTCTAACTTAAAAGTACTTCCTCTCCATGTATCTGATCATGAAAATTCCAGTGGCATTCGTAGACAAATTACGATATTCAAAGCTGGGTTATGCAACACAGTGATCACAGTTAACCATGTCAACACTGCGTGTCAAAGGCAGTGAACATACCAATGAGGTTAACAATCTCACTTCTGCAACCACCAGCAATACCCAAGGCATGCCTCAGCAAATGTAATTTTTGCAACATGAGTGATAATCAGATAGCATTTTACAATGCGGATATAAGCATAATTACAAATAGGTAACCAGTTTCGCATTAAGTTAAATATATACAGACATATCCAGACACCTCCACGTAAATATTGTTAACAAATAACATGTTACAGAAATGTATAATCTCCAACGATAATCACAATGTGAATGTGCAGTGGAACAAGTGGTGGTCACTGGGGTCAGTAGTGGTTAGCACAAGGCGCAATGAACCCTGCGATCCGAGTTCAATTCCAAGCCACGGCTAACATCAGTGGTGATCATCTGAAAGGGGTCCTGGGCCTTCCACAGTGTCAACTCGGCCTAAAATAAGTGCCTGGTGTGGGTGGATGAACATCAGCGCCGGGGAGACAAAAGCGCCGGGGAGCGGTGCTGCTCACAGCACCCACCCCGAGTGCGCCGCCGTGCCGGCCTTCATCGGAGCTCGCCAAAGGCACTTGCCCTCCCCATCGGTCTATGAAGGCTCCACGGGAGAACGTGAAGTCTTTGTTGTGTGGGAAACGAGTACCGTTGCGAGGACTTACCGGGAGGATGTAAAACCGTCGAGTTGTTTGCCTGCACGCCGTGCTGCCCTTGCCCAGCTGATGTGGTCCCGCTCATCCCACGCCCGCCCGGGTCAAACACTGGGATTTCTGGGAGCAGGTTTGACATCCCGTGCCTTACGGGTGTGGCAGTCGAATGAACTTCTGCCATCAGAGGAAATAGTAAAGCATGATAATGCAGAATTTTGTACACTCGTGTGGTTTGGACTGGTTTCAAGGTTCCACTAAAGTGACTTGGTGATTGCTGAGTAAAAATGACAACGCAGAGTGTGACGTAACCACTGGCTCTGTCTATAATTAACTCCTGGAATTCACAATCTTCTATTTAAAAGTCCAGTGTGCATCATATGGGCGAGAGTCACAAAGGCAGGCATGTGGTTGAGTCAACATAAATGCATGACAAAAACCTTGCAGATCAATTTAATGTAACCAGAACTTAATCGCATACTTAGAATCCGAGTATTTCCTTAAAATGCTGGCCAGTGTACCGTTTATTGACGTGAATAAAAAATTGCCATTTTCAACGAACTCAGCCCACGCAAACCACTTGCACATGCAGCCAGACGAAACAATCATTTCCCGTTGAGACATTTAAATGTTTTTTCCATTAAAAAGAATGAGAAATAATTCAGCTTATTTGAATAAAAATTCCTACATACATTCAAGTAAGTTGTTATAGATTGCCGCAGTATTTAATACTCCACCACCGCTGAGAAATTGTTCCACTAGGGTATTTTGTCTCCTCCATGTAAACTAAACAATTTATATTTTACCAGGTAAGGCTCGCTTTATACAGTAGCTCTTTTTCAGATGCGACCTGGCCACAAAGTGGCTTATCACGTGGAAATTGATCGCAGCCAAATACCTCTAAATGCATGTTGATTCTAAATGGAGAGAAACATCGCAGGTAAATTTAAGTACTCTATATTTATATATGTATACATAACACACATGTGTTCAACCACTATACTGCAATGACTTCATAATTCGTTTTACTTGGTTTTATGTAGAGGTATATTTTTGTTAACGAGAACGTCCTCACCATCTGACAAAGCCAATCACCTTCTTGGTTCTTTCGGTAAAGTCACGTGACTTTACTGAAAGAACCAAGAAGATGAATCCCTGCAGTCACGAAAGCTTTAAATTGAAAAATAAAGCCAATCACATCAAGACTGTCACGTGGGCAAATACGGCAATGGGGAGGGAAGAGAATGGGCAATGGAGAAGAGGTGAGCTTTAAAAGAGGAATGGAAGGAGGTTAAGGAGGGAAACTGCTTATAAAACACTATCCGGCAGGAGAAAACACTTAACGTATAAATAGTTCCACCTATATTAAGGACTGTACAGGGACTTCTCTACTTATGAACATTCGACTTCCGAACTTTCAGAGGTACGAACAAACCTGTTCGTATATACACTTGCCTGTTCTAAGTCCTAAGTTAAACCGGCACACAATAGATGGAGGTGGTGCCATCTACATCTGCAGAATATGAACAGTGGCATCTCTGTTCCCCGTGTTTAGTGTACATGCCGTACATGTTTGGAATCGGTAGGAGTAAAGATGGACTTACGAACAAATCGACTTACGAACAGACCTCTGCAACCTAACTCGTTCATAAGTAGAGGAGTCCCTGTTTCTATTCGACTTGATCGATTGGTCTCATCCATATCACATTTTAAATCACCGTATCGAAGGACAAAAACACTCCCCCCGTGCTTTCTGCTTGCTTGGCAATGATAGACTTTGGATTCCTTCCAATAGTCTCTTTTTGAAACCTCTTAACAACCACGGGTCATTTCAAGAAACAGTATTCGTTCGTATCTCTTGCAACTTCAAAGGTGCTGTTAGCATTTTTGGCCTTTGAGCCCGTGCCCGGCAATTTTAACTACATCTCTCTTTCACGGCCACTGCTGGTGCCGGTGGGTGCACAGCAGCATCCTGAACACAACTGGACCATTCCTCATCGGGGAAATGTTATGCCGACTTAAAAGTGCATGAAACACAATTTATACAAAGGTCACAGTGATATAAGGTGTCGACTTAGGATTATTCTCATGCGGTGGCACCATTAGACTCGCAGCAATGAGCTGCCACCGCTGAGTGTCTTGGGTTCGAATCCAGGTTTCAGCCAACTGGGATTCTACCATTTTCTCAAGGATAGCAGAGTGGATGATCTCCAGCCGGTCACCATCGACTGTACAAAATATACCATCACGCTAAATGTGGTTCTGTACTTCATTTGTCTAAATAACTACCCTCGGCTTACACTAACTTCGATGTGGTCTCCAGCTGTGTCCCCTCCGACAAAAAATCTTCAATCGCGCGAGCCCTCTCTGACTGAATTACCATCACGCGGCCCATGCCAAGGCCGTCACCCAGCAGTGGATTGGCAAAGAACTGCGGATTGTCACTTACTTACATGACAGCCTCGTTAGGCAAACGCAAAGACACACACACACTCGATATCAGTACAAAGACCCCCGTATAGCCTGTTACAGACTGTTGGGGCAAGTGCTGTTAGCGAGCACCCATGAAGGCCACCACGACACACAACGGGGTGGGGTGGCCAACACCACGCCCAGGCCGCCTTTGTCTCACCAGTGGCAATATTTACTACACACCGCACCGCTTACTCGTTTGAGGCCGAGTCAACCTAGGGGAGGCACAGGACCAGTTCAGATAATCATCACTGGTGTTGGCCGTGAGCGGAAATCGAACCCGGGTCGCCAGGTTGGTAGCGAAGTGCACTAATCACTACACTACCGCTCCCCACCTGCACAATACATGTGTAGTGGCACAGCGCCGACTGCTATCCAGCAGCGGCAACTGCGGTGGAGAGTTAGCGCACACGCCGTTGAGGACATACACTGTGCGTGTGCCGGCAGGGTGGAGGAACTGGGGCAAGGGTCACGGAAGACCTCACAGGGAGGGCCCCTGGAACCCTCTGGTGGGTTCGAGAAAGGAGGCGCGGCCAGGGCGGAGCCAAACCGCACCGAGGAGAATAAAAGCAGCGGAGAGCGAGAGCTCCAGGCTGCCGGTAGGGGACTCGCCTCGTCGTTGCTGCCACCTTCGCCCGATCATTGCGGGGCCGGGCAGTAGTCTGCCTAAACACGAAAGGGTCGTGTCTAGACCGGGCATGTCCGGCAGCGTGGTCGAGAGTGAGGAGGCAGGAGTTGGTGTGAACGGGATAATAAAGAGACGGTGCCCCTTGCGACAACCTCGTCTCCGACTGAGTGTGTGCGTTGCACACCACACGAACCCAAACAGCTGCATTGAGTTCCCCTGTGTAGCCTTTAACAGACTGTGGGGGCAATTGTTGCTGATAGCGAGCACCCTAACAAGGCCGGCAACGGCACACGAGTCACAACCACGCCCGGACACCTTTGAATCCCCCAAGGCTGATGTTTACCACACACCACACCGGGCGCTTAATTACAGACCACTCGAGACCCGCCCCCCCCCGTACAAGACATCTGTGCTTAAGAGCTTCATAGCTCATCAGATTTCTCCGGGATAAATTAACCTTATGGCGGTAACCCGGCTCTCGCATAATGTCCGTGATGCACTCATTATTATTACACGCTTTATATTAACTCACTCTGTTGTTGTTGTCGTATCCTCAAATCTTGTAACTCAGTTCTAACCCACTTATCAATGTGGTATCGACTGCAAACTTTGTATACTTATGTCATACTGATGAAAATACTATATTCAATCATGAAAAAAATATATATATTTTTAAACATTATTTTTACACGCTTTATATTAACTCACTCTGTTGTTGTTGTCGTATCCTCAAATCTTGTAACTCAGTTCTAATCCACTTCCAAATTTGGTATCGACTACAAACTTGGTATACATATGTCATACTGATGACAATACTATATTCTATCATAAATATATATATATATTTTAAACATTCTTTTTACACGCTTTTTATTAACTCACTCTGTTGTTGCTGTTTCCTCAAATCTTGTAGCTCAGTTTTAACCCACTTCCCACCGTGGTATCGACTGCAAACTTGGTATACTTATGTCTTACTGATGACACTACTATATTCTATCATTAAAAACATATTTTAAAACCATTTTCTTTAAGTTATGTTTCGGCTTGTGGGTCTAATTGTCCACACTCAACTGACGTTGGCTGTAAATCACCACGGCCCCCTTACGTTGTGGCAAACCTCGGGGCCACTTCCTGGAGTCGTGGAGTTCTGCCATTACTAGCAAGGTACATTTCATTAAAGCGTGTTTTTTAAAAGTTCTATTTAAATATTACTTAGTCTGTTGATGGTCGGCGATGCGGCAATCGACTCATCTCGACGAGCTGTACACGATGCACCACGTTAATTCGACATCGCAGAATATCACCGATTTCAGATTGATTGTTACCCCAGTCGTGGAGTTTAAGCAACACCCCGTGTGAAAAAAAAAACCTAGTGTCCCATAAATAAACTATTTAATTGCCGTAAGGATCAAATAAAGATTCCTATTCGTATTCTTAGGTTTTTTTCGGTAAAGTCACATAGGTAAAACATCAAAATTTATAAAAATAAAATAAAACAAAAATCACGACGTTTCGGAGGCAACACAAGTCTCCGTCATCAGGTGGGACCGTCACAGCCAGATTAGCTGCATCAAGTGAGGCAATGATTCAAGATGTAATCCCTTGATTCATTGCCTCACTTGACGCAGCTAATCTGGCTGTGACGGTCCCACCTGATGACGGAGACTTGTGTGTTGCCTCCAAAACGTCGTGATTTTTGTTTTATTTTTTATTAATTTTGATGTTTTACCTACATGGTGACTTTACCGAAAAAACCTAAGAATATGAATCCTTGCAGTCACGAAAGCTTCAAATCTAGAATTCCGATTCGTACTCGCAATCGACATGGGTGAGGTCAACGAGAGTTTATTGCAGCCGATCAGCCCAGACAAGTCCTGGTCGATGACCATTCTAGAGGAAAGCTAAGGCGAGACTATTCCACTGCGGGCAAGCATTGCCATGTTGCTGTAGCCGCATGTTTTATGCTCCCACGTCCGACCTTCAGTGGCAGCTGACCGCGGTGGTGAAGTATGGTCAACAAACTGTACACCACCCACAACACCACCCACCACACCACCCACCACACCACCCACCACCACCCACCACACCACCCACCACCACCCACAACACCACCCACCACCACCCACCACCACCCACAACACCACCCACCACCACCCACAACACCACCCACCACCACCCACAACACCACCCACCTCTACCCACAACACCACCCACCACCACCCACCACCACCCACACACCACCCACAACACCACCCACAACACCACCCACCACACCACCCACCACACCACCCACCACCACCCACAACACCACCCACCACACCACCCACCACCACCCACAACACCACCCACCACCACCCACAACCGCCACTAGGCCACGTAACCCACCAAGCAAGACGACTGGCAAAACTCGAGACGCGGGGCTGGTAAAGTCGCTATTATTGTGGTTATTTTGTTTAAAAAATACCCACAACGTTAACAGGGTGACCAGACTACTGCGGTGTAGACGTCCGAGACCCAGGGCCTAGGACAGGCCGCCTCCAGTTCCGCGTTACAATCACACAAACACACACACACGGGTAAACACACGAGCCTCCCCTACTGTGGTGACATAAAGCGTACCTTTGTTGTTGTTGCTTGGCCTTTAAGTCTTCATAATGTTTGTGTGTTGACGGCACTGGCGCAGCACAAGCTGCTGGTGAGGGTGAGGGGTGAGGCACGCAACCAGCTACTTCCCCCCTCGCTAAACTCGGCTGCGTGGATAATTCCCAGCGTCACCGCGACCACCCCCACCACGTGACGCGGCCGGTGACGTGTGCGGGTGACCCCCCTCCTCCTCACATCACCCTCCACTTACCCCTCCTCCCCCCCTCACCCCTCCTCCCCCCCTCACACTCACCCCCTCCCCCCTCACCCTCCCCTCACCCTCCCCCCGCTCCCCCTCCCCCCTTACCCTCCCCCCTCACCCTCCCCCCTCACCCTCCCCCCGCTCCCCCCTCACCCTCCCCCCGCTCCCCCCTCACCCTCCCCCCATCACCCTCCCCCCCACACCCTCCCCCCTCCCCCTCCCCCCTCACCCTCCCCCCTCACCCTCCCCCCTCAACCTTCCCCCCTCACCCTCCCCCCCTCCCCCTCCCCCCTCACCCTCCCCCCTCACCCTCCCCCCCTCCCCCCTCACCCTCCCCCCTCACCCTCCCCCCTCACCCTCCCCCATCCTCCCCCCCACACCCTCCCCCCACACCCTCCCCCCTCACCCTCCCCCCCTCCCCCCTCACCCTCCCCCCTCACCCTCCCCCCTCAACCTTCCCCCCTCACCCCCCCCATCCTCCCCCCCACACCCTCCCCCCCACACCCTCCCCCCACACCCTCCCCCCTAACCCTCCCCCCTCCCCCTCCCCCCTCACCCTCCCCCCTCCCCCTCCCCCCTCACCCTCCCCCCTCACCCTCCCCCCGCAACCTTCCCCCTCACCCCCCCCATCCTCCCCCCCACACCCTCCCCCCCACACCCTCCCCCCACACCCTTCCCCCTCACCCTCCCCCCTCCCCCTCCCCCCTCACCCTCCCCCCTCACCCTCCCCCCGCAACCTTCCCCCCTCACTCCCCCCATCCTCCCCCCCACACCCTCCCCCCCACACCCTCCCCCCACACCCTCCCCCCTAACCCTCCCCCCTCACCCTGCCCCCACACCCTCCCCCCACACCCTCCCCCCTAACCCTCCCCCTCACCCCCCTAACCCTCCCCCCTCACCCTCCCCCCCTCACCCTCCCCCCCTCCCCCTCCCCCCCTCCCCCTCCCCCCTCACCCTCCCCCCTCAACCTTCCCCCCTCACCCTCCCCCTCCCCATCCTCCCCCCTCACCCTCCCCCCCACACCCTCCCCCCTCACCCTCCCCCCTCACCCTCCCCCCCTCACCCTCCCCCCCTCACCCTCCCCCCCACACCCTCCCCCCTAACCCTCCCCCCTCACCCTCCCCCCTAACCCTCCCCCTTCAACCTCCCCCCTCACCCTCCCCCCTCACCCTCCCCCCTAACCCTCCCCCCTCACCCTCCCCCCTAACCCTCCCCCCTCACCCTCCCCCCCACACCTTCCCCCCCAGACCCTCCCCCCCACACCCTCCCCCCACACCCCCCCCACACCCTCCCCCTCACCCTCCCCCCTCACCCTCCCCCCCTCACCCTCCCCCCTCACCCTCCCCCCTCACCCTCCCCCCTAATCCTCCCCCCTTACCCTCCCCCCTAACCCTCCCCCCTAACCCTCCCCCCTCACCCTCCCCCCCTCACCCTCCCCCTCACCCCCCCCCCTCACCCTCCCCCCTCACCCTCCCCCCTCACCCTCCCCCCTCACCCTCCCCCTCCCCCCTCACCCTCCCCCACCTGGCACGGATCATTCTGTTGTCACGTCATGTCCAAGCGCAGCAGCGAGGACGAACGCGCAGAGGAGCCGAACAAGCGAATTCACTCCATGCTCGGGTATGGGCAGGATCAGAACAAGTCTTATCCAAAGCTGCTCAAACTGCCTACACGACTCGAGTCCTTTATTTGTCATCACGGGATGCATAATACAGTGGAACTGCTCTCTTATCTTCATTATTATTTGTGACCTACCAATGTCTGCAGCCAGGATCAATCGATGACAATCTTATTAACCTGCAGATATTTAACAGATGAGATGCGTTGCACCCTTAATTCCTCCTGTTTGATAAAATACTTCTCCCGTATGCATTTGTGCGGATAGGTTTTTTTTTTGCGGTTAAGCCATAGTCCCCACATACCGCTCGTATCAATGCGGATAAGAGGAGCGGCGACCCACTACTCTGCAGAGTAACATCGGTATAAACGCGTTTACAATATGAACAGCGCATTGAAAACGCGTACTATGTTATGTACTGTTTACAAATTGTGTTCACAAATCCACACTGAGAAACACGATGATTGACAGAGGGGTGTAAATTATTTTTTCGACAGTGTATTTAAATAGAGATACTGCAGGTAAGTAGTTTTCAGTTTTAAAGGCGTATGTGATGCTACAGCGGCGAAGCCGCTCTGCCGATGCCCCACCTGCGATCCCACCACCACCAAGCAGCTTGGCCGACGCTGCTCTTCCCTCACCACCCCCCACATGGACACACCCCCCCCCCCCCCCCACATAGGGCCTCGTGGGAAAGTCACCTGGCCTACAGGTTTTCACCCAGGAGCCCTCCTCGTGGGGAACCTTCTCCACGGTTTCCTGGGGCCAGGGAATTGGCCGAGGCTTCCCCGAGGTTAAATGGCACTGCGGCGCCGTGAATTGACGTGAAATTACACGGTCACAACGAGGCTACTCAGCCACCGCGGTTAAGACACACAACACAGACGGGTTAGCAAGCAGGTAGGGGGTGGAGCCACGAACGGCGGGATACAAGGGTAAGCGTCTGATTGGCAGGACAAATGTGCTTGTGTGCCAAAGCAGTAGCCCAGCGGCAGTCCCTTTCATATGGAAACCGGGACGCGGACGGTGCTAAGAGCACCGATGCGAAAGCTGGGACCCGGCAGGCGGGCAATCTGATTGGCCGGGAAGGCCATCGGATCAGCGACAGGTTTTCTTTGATGTAGAGGACAATAAAAGTCGAGGGTAGGGAGAGATAGTTGAGTTCGTGTCCAGCACAAGTCAGCGATCGGTCGACTCTCCAGCCACCCGAACGTCCGTGTGACGAGTCGCAGTGCAGCGAGGACTGGCCCGCAGGAACTCCGTACGAATCGAACCGTGAGCACGAGAGAGAGGTGGAGAACAGCGTGAGAATTCCTCGAGAGGATAAGTCTGAATAGGCGGGATATATTGGATAGATTGGGTTTAAATCCGTGGAACAGGTTAGTTTCCCACTGATTTCGGCTTCGGGCTCCGGGATATTTAGTATCAGGCACGCATCCGGCCGGTGTTCCCCCGTCGTTGCGCCCGTGTGTTGAGTTCGTACCCGGCCGACGCTATTTTTAAATCCTTTATATTAAGTTCGCTTGCTTGCTTAGGACCGTGCAAATCTTTCGGTCGTTTTTTAACCCACTTCCCGTGATCCAATCGAGCTGACATTTTGCACCCAGACTCGTTGTGCGTGACAATTAATGTTCGTGAAATTTTTTTTCCAAAATTTTACACTTTTTAGGACAAAAATATTCTATTTAATTACCAATTGCTTAATGGTGCAATGCAATCATCTGACTCATAGGTGGCAGCCATCTCAAGCCAGAGGACGAGAGGACTCTAGCCGCCACGCATATAAAGGATTTAGAGTGAAAAACTTTGTTTTTACGGGTTATACTTATTAACGTGTGCACGTGGTGAGCGACGGTAGATACGCACGGGGTTATTCACACCGCTATCTTTAGCGTGTGCACGGGGCTGAGCAGCAACGCACGGGTAGTCTCTCACTAACTATCAGAGTTATGTTTTTTTTTGCATTATGACTGCAGGTATTGTGGTCTATGCAAACATGACTCCTTGTTAAAAAAAAGGTGTCAGTTTTGTTGGCAGATAGAAGGGTAAAAAACCAATTATCATGTTGCGTTATAGTCAACCCGATTGCGTTGTCAAATACCCATTTCGGGGTTCATTTAACCAGGGCATCATTTACACAAATGCGTTCCACACCGTCGTTAGCTGCATGCGATAGACACACGCCGCCGTGTCAGCATGCAGTGGCACGGATTATGCGCGTAGACGACGAGGGGGTCGAGTGACCGCCGTGAGCTCTCGTGGTGGTCTGGACGGGCGAGACGCGTCGGCGTTCTTCATTGCAAGGAGCCACTGGCACGACCCCTGGTGGCCTTTCGTGCGGCCCCTGACGTTCGGACCCCCGACTATTCGCAAATGGTGAAAACACCAACCGCCCCCGAATCATCCTAAATACAGGTTTGCTTGGGTTAGATCGCGTAAATGTATGTGTCGTTAAACCCGCCACCACCCGACACAGCCAACAAGTAAGGGTTGTCACGTAAACAGAACATGCCAATTCGTCACTAATATAGCACACCGGTGTGTTGGAGAGCAAAGCCACAACATCAGCAATCTGAGTACGACGTTTCGCCAATAATTACAACTAGCTTCATCAGGCGGACAGCCAGATTGTGGAGAAATCCTCCTGTTTCGTTCCTTAAATAGAGGGGTTGATGTTATTAATGAACGCATATCAATGACAATGGGTATATCCATCGGTGTTTGGGGGTATTTATATAACTAGCTTGACTACCCGGCTTCGCCCGAGACGTGGATTCTCGTCTTGGATTAATACATGGCCTACGTGGTGGGTGGGGGGGTGACGTCATCAGGCACACTGCATGACGCTACCGCATGCAGGTGACATCACAGATGTGACATCACCGCTCACTTGCCGTGCAATATATTATATCTATTATTGCGACCCCCCCCCCCCCCAACCAAAAAAAGTCTATTTTTATACTTTTGCATGGTGTACAGTCTGGAAAGTACCCACATGCCAAATTTCAAGTTTGTTGCATGTCGGGAAGTATGCTAAACATTTCGAACAGACACACACATTCACAAATGTCCCTTTTATATATATAGATTAATGGACATTATCCATGCGCATTATGCAAGCCCATTGTTCGTGTACCTCCTGTCGATTGTGTGCCCTAAAGTAGCCGTGCCTGTTATTGCACGTTCTCTTTGGTTCTTTCGGTAAAGTCACGTAGATGAAAAAAAAATGAAAATAACTCAATTAAATCACGACGTTTCGGAGGCAACACAAGCTTCCGTCATCAGGTGGAACAGCCAGAGCAAAATTACTGTAGTGA